GCCCTCCAGGCGCGCACGGCGCAGTGCAGGACGCCGTCCATCCACACCAGGAACCAGCTGATGCAGAAGCCGAGCAGCAGCCCCAGCATGAGGTCGATCTCCTGCTTGGTGACGTTGTCCGTCACGAAGTAGTTCTCGGAGGCGTCCACCACCGACTGGTCCCCGTCGTACGGGATCACGTAGTGGATGTGGTGCCTGGGGGCGGGCGGCAGGGCGGGCTGGCACCTCTCCCGCGGGGCCGCCTGGGGCTGCCTGCTGGGGTCTCTGAAGCAGCCCTTGTGGGGTCTGAGGTCCGGAGGGGCCCGCGGACTCGCCCAGGGCCCCGCTCCCCAGGTGGAGGCTGCCCGTAGGGTCGGGGGTGCAAGACCAGTGGTCGTCAATGTGAAGTCCAGTCCGGGCGTCTGCCCACACTGCACCCCCCTCCTCTGCCCGGCCTGGGGCTGGTGGCTGACCCTGACGGGGTCACGGGCAAGTGCAGGTGGGCCAGTGGTTCCAGGGTGGAGGCCCAGGGCAGGTGTCCCGCTCTGAGGGCAGGTTCAGAGCCCACCTGCCGGACAGGTGCTGACCGCTCCTCTGGGACCGCCCCTCTGGCCTCTCCCTAAGGCGACACTCACTAGCCCTTTCGTCAGCTTCCATCCGGGCACAGCCGTGTGGCCATCCCCTTCTCCGTCCTTGAGTCTCTGTCCAGAACCCATCCCTTCGTCCCCTCGCCCGGGTGCACCCTGGCCTACGCCCTGCGTGGATCTGTAAGTCCTTGGGCCGCTCCGCTGCTCTCAGTGGTCGATGGAACTGTCTGGGTTTCTCAGCCCGTGGCCCTCCTCTGCATCCCGGCACCCACCAGGGCCTGTGCCATGGCTCTCGGCCTCCCCTGCCTCCACTGGCCAGACTCAGGCTCCTGAGCCCTCCAGGCCCTCGCTTGCCTCTGAGGCCACATTACATGCTCCTCACACGGTCTCATCAAGCCTCAGAGCTGCCTGGGTACCTCCTCCTCCAGGGAGTCCTCTGGGCCCCGTGACCCCAGGTGCAGTGGCTCTGCCCAGGACAGTGGACTCTGGGCTTGCCCCCACCCTCACCCCCTCACTGTTAAGAGAGCCTAGGAGCCCTGGCTGGTTTGGCTCAGTGGATAGAGCGTCAGCCTGCGGACTCAAGGGTCCCAGGTTCGATTCTGGTCAAGGGCATGTACCTTGGTTGCGGGCACGTCCCCAGTAGGGGGTGTGCAGGAGGCAGCTGATCGATGTTTCCCTCTCATTGATGTTTCTAACTCTCTATCCCTCTCCCTTCCTCTCTGTAAAAAATCAATAAAAAAGAGCGAGCGAGCACCTAGGAGCCAAGGCACAGTGGGGTCCATGCACCTTCAGCCCCCAGTCATCTTTGTCGCTGGCACCTACAGACCCTCCTCCTGCCAGGCAGTGCAGGGCCACCTGGGGTCCTCCTGCCCAGGAGGCCGCCTCTCCTGGCCCACCCCTCTCCGAGTCCCTTTGCTGGCTTCGCCAACTCCCCATCCCCACCCCGCAAGTCCCTGCCGCCCCATATGGCTGCTCTGAGCTCCAGCTGCCTCCCTGGCGTCTCCATGTGGGATCTACAGACACCTCAAACTCACACCTAAAAATAGCTCCTCCCTCCCAGAACCTGCTCCTCCCGGCATCCCTCCAGTTAGATGCTGACACCTCCGCCTGGTCTTCCTGGAGACGGGTTCCTCCTTCCCCCACACTTTCCTATGCTCCCCGCCCCCCAGAGAGACCTCTGACCTCAGGCCCTGCTGCACCAACACTGGCCACATGGGGTGGCTTCCTCTCCAGGGTCAGGGGAGTCCTGTCTCCTCACACCCTCTCCTGCTCCTCCTGGGGACCCCTGTGCACAGCAGCCTACAGAGCAGGGGCGGGGGTCACAGTCAGTCAGCAAGAACTGGCTGACACCTAGTAGCCATTGCTCATCTGATCAGTTTGTCAATAGCCATTATGAATCATCAATGGGTGATGGAGCGCTAGCCGGCTTGGCTCAGTGGATAGAGCATCGGCCCGCGGACTGGAGGGTCTCAGGTTGGAGTCCGGTCAAGGGCACCTACCTCCGTTGCAGGCTCGATCCCCGGCCTATAGAGCATCGGCCCGCGGACTGGAGGGTCTCAGGTTTGAGTCCGGTCAAGGGCACCTACCTCCGATGCAGGCTCGATCCCCGGCCTCAGTTGCCGCACGTGCAGGAGGCAACCAATGGATGTGTCTCTTTCACATTGATGTTTCTCTCTCTCTCTCTCTCTGTCTCTCCCCCTCCCTTCCACTCTCTAAAAATCAATGGAAAAAATATCCTCAGGTGAGGATGAACAACAACAACAACAAAAAGTGATGGAAACGAATGATCACCACCTAGAATGTGCAGCGCTTCCAGGCCCCCTGGGAGGACGCCCCGTCACCTAGGCACCCCAGGCCTCAGGGTGCTGATACTGAACATCACCACCCTCTTCTGCCTCCCCAGCCTCCTGGGTCTAGGACCTCTGCTGGGTCCTCTCAGGACAACTGCTTCTGACCCCTGGACACGCTGCTGGGCAGGGCAGGACTTGTCAAAGGCTGGGCCACCACAGGAGCCAGACATGCCCCTGGTGCTCCGCAAGGAGGAGGCCAGGCCCAACCACCCGGGAGGCTCAGGACCCCAGAGGCTGGAGGCACAGTCTGTGCCCCATCGCTGTCCTGGCACCAGCAACTCTCCCCCTGTGCTCTGCCCACTCCTTTCTCCAATGCAGGCCCCTGGGGACAGGGCTCAGGTCTCCCATGTACACACGTATTTCCATGATGGGAACATACATGGGTCCTACCTGGACCATGCATGCTGCATGTGTTTACCTGAGGTCCAATGCATGTTGTGTATACACGCCGGCCACATGCACAGGACATGGCGTATATACCATGAACTTGGCCCATGAGGTCCGCATGTGTGCATGTGTATGCTTGCCCAGGCACAAGCATGGTGCATGTCACATGGAGATGCACATGCATGTGGCTTTGCACAGAGCCACCCTCTCTGTGGGCGCCAGGGCACATGCATGGATGTGTGTGCACAGACACCACCTGCTGGCACGCACACTGTGGAGCATGAATGTACATACATGTCCTCATCATAAAACTTTCCGCAAGGCATGTAGAAGGCATACACGTACGTAAACGCTTATTCTTGTATAAGGTGTGTACACACATGGGTAGAGTCCATTGTGGCAATGCGTGCACATGGCATATACACGAATACTCCATGTGCAAAACTATGCAGGCAGTCACTGGGCCCACATGGAGCACATTGGTCTCTGTATATTGTATCATACACATGTACTGGGCATACACATGTATGTCAATAAACAAGAATATGTTGTACACTGTATCATGTATGTAGTGATGTGTACAAAGCACACACATGTGGACACAAGCATGCAGAAACATTCTTAAGTTCATAGGTGGCTTTCCACAGACACGCTAACCTGTGCACACAAGCCCAGCTGTGCATACCCCATGGACATCTGTTTACATGAGTCCACGTGTACTCTGGACACTGTATAGGACTCACACACACACACCCTGTGCAAATAGACTCTGAAAGCACATCCTGTCCGCCCTCAGTGTGAGGTCACAGGCCCAGAGATGCTGGTCACAGTGCAGCAGCCCACACACATGTAAAATGTGTGTTACTAATGCTTCCAGAGCTCGGAGTCAGGGCCCGTGTTCTGCACACCACCAGTCCCAGGGGGTCTCCAGGTCACCCCAGTTCACACCACTCACAGCCCTGGCCGCCCCAGGCAGGAACTCAGGGGTCTCTGGGGGAGTATGGCCACCGGGAAACCTCTGGGAGGTCCCTGGCCAGCACAGGTGAGGGCTGCTTGCACTGCTGTCTCCACCTGCTCCAAGGCCCAGTTCTGCTTCCACACACGGGTCGGCACCCACAGGCAGGGAGCATGCGGAGTGAGGCCTGAAGCCGCTTGCCTCTCATCCCCAGGCCCACCACGTGTGCACACGTCTGGAGCAGGCGTCCAGGTCAGGAGTGAAGAGCACGGGTTCTGGGGTTCATGCCCCTATCTCTCGCTAGCTGCGTGACTTCTGTCCGCTTTCTCACTGATTCCAGCCCGAGGGTGTCCTGTGGGGTGAGGGTGTGCATGCGGACATGCGCGTGTGCTGCGTACCCACATGTATATGCACAGACGGTACACACACTCGCGTCTCATGAGATGTTTATTTCGTACATGGACGTACAAACATGCATGGCCCGGAGGACGCCGTCATTACATGTGCACAGGATGCGGGTCACAGTGGGTGGTGTGGCCTGGGCTCTCCAAGCTGAGTGACCTTGAGCAAGCTCCACCCCTTGCCTCAGTTCCTCCTCTGCACAGTGAGGGGGTGGGCCCGGCCCACCTTGAGCGGCAGCACCTCCCTGTACCTGGCTCCCGGGAAAGTTCATGGACACCGTGCAGGGTCCAGGGCAGAGGCTGTTGTGCTCCGTGGGCACAGCCCTGGGCAGGATCCCTCCCGGACACCAGGCTGGGCTGCTGCTTCCTTGGCCTCCGGGCCCTGGACCAGGAGGCCTGGGGCCTGTTCTGCCCATCACCCTCTCTGTGAAGGCGTTTTGGGAGGGGGTTCTAACTGAGCCAGGCACGCACCCCCCTCCAGAACTCCACTGGCCAACCTCCAGGGGCCCGCAGGAGGCTGGACAGCCCTTCCCCCGCTGGACCTGGTGCCGGATTCAGCGGCCCCTTGGGCCTAGCGCGGCCCTTCGCAGGCCTGCTCGGGCTCCCGCACGCCAGTGGGCCCTGAGTCCCATACATGTGAGATCACGCGTGAGCCCCGCCGGGCACAGACTCACCGGCCACAGTTGCAGTGGCAGACGCGGTCCTCGCCCCGCAGGTGCGGGAGGATGTAGTTGTGGAATCGGTCCAGCAGCGCGTTCATGTCCATCAAGCACGCGATGGCCTGGAAGAGCCCATGACCGGTCAGACCCAGGAG